ACACACACACACACACACACACACACACACACACACACACACACACACACATGCAAAGACACACGTACACCCACGTATGATCGCCACGAAACAATCATGATATTATTAATGCAGTCTGAATCACGTACAAATGTATTTCCGTTTCTCGTTTTGAGAGTTAAAGGACGTATCAGGGTCAGAAATTAAAGACGTGTTAAACACTTTTGAGCTGTTCTGTCCCTATAATAAATATTGCATTATCTCGAGTTACCGACGTTGTCTAAAGCATGAAGTATATATAGCCTTTAGGGAACCAAAATTGTGTTAACAATTGTACGTTGGTAGTGGCCGTGAATCAACTTCTGTTTCTTTTTCTTCATTAAGAAAAGTTCCAGTTTCTAATATGTGTTATTAATTTAGCCAGCGGGGGCTAGGCCTACTCTTTATCCTTCATATTTTTACAACAGTCGCGCGAAGCTGTGATCGATCTTGGCCGAGGCTAGGCCTAACGGTTCAGCTGAACAACACTTTCCGACCCGCTATCTGCTCAGCAGCGAGTGGAATTGCGTACCTGGCACAAGTTGCCCTGACCATCTGATTGGTTGATGAAAGGATACGGCGTAATGTTTGAAAGACGAATTTACACAGAAAAGTGAACATTGACAATTATTTATCAAAATCGATGCTAAGGTAAGCTATTTCATTATTTTTGTTCATGATAATGTTGTGATGTATTGAGCCAGGCTGTATGGGCTTTTAAAATGCCAAACTGAATTCATGAGACTGCGTTTTCGTTAACCTCACAAAATTTCCCCGCCCCCTTTGAACTTCAGTAGAGAGCAGTCTTGTGTGTGTATCCCAGTTTTTCACTGACAATGAACAGAGTTGGGGAGCTTCGTTTTCTGTGATGTGTCATCAATGTTGCTTCGGCTGTCATCTGGTCAGTATTGAGAACTAGATCTAGATAGAATTATCTTATTCTATCGCTCTTGGTTGATATTGATCTCAAATTCAATTTCTAAGTTGTTTTTATTTTGATGCCATTGCCACTGTTTTGTCAACTTCAGTCTTCTTGTCCTGATGGTGAAGTGACCGGGAATAGGCTTACCGACTGACTACAACAACACTGTCGTTTTTCTATGCACACCATTTCACTTGGTCAAACGGAGTCCGTTGCAATTGCTGTTTTTTATGTCTTAACTTTTTCTAGAGACTATCTGTAATTGAAGTAAGAAGTTAGTCTGGCCATACGCAGTTCTGGTTCAAAAGGGAGTGTTGTTACCAAATCTCCCTCCAAATTTGATGTTTTGAAATCACCACCATGCCCATGTTGCTAAACTAAACTCTCACAGTCTCTCTCGCTCACATCTAGATTCTAGGAGTGGAATCTTTACAGGTCTCCCAAAATCTGTTTGTGATTTAAACTGTGTTGTATAACTTTGCTATCATATTCTAGGGCCTAGATCACATTTAAAATCTTTAAATATGCCCACAGTTGGGAATGCCTTCAGTTGTGTGTAGGAGGACTAGATTCTAGAACTGTTGGGCTAGGACTAGGAGGGCAGGTGTAGATCTAGATTCTAGTCTTGATCTAGATCTAGATCTAGATGGGTAAAGAGCAAGAGAAAAACTGCAGGTTTCTGGTTTCTCTGTCACTGTTTGATGAAAACAGTAGGTCTTAGAGTCTATCCGTTATAAAAAAAAAAGTATAAACTTGATCCAAAATCTGGATTTGTTTGCTTGGGAGCGACCACTAGATCTAGGAGGGATCTAGATTAGATGTCTTGATCTATGAGGCAGAGTAGAACTAATAGAGGGGTTAGGGTTAGGTCTCTTCTTAAGTGTTTGTGGGGTGGTCGCTTGTTACAAAAGTCCTTCCACCTTCTATATATTTTCTTTGGAAGGACTTCCGTAACGAGTGACTACCCCAACAAATACAATAAAGAAGAGAACTTTACCCTACCCCAGACCCTCAATAACCCTACCCCTAGCCCTAACCCTCTATCAGACTCTGTTTCATAGTGGTCGCTCGTTACAGAATTCCTTCCTTTTCTTTCTTCCATTTCCGAAACACAAGAGTGGATCAGCATTGACTGAGATAGAACAGAGCAGGTGTTTTTCTTGTGATAGAGACAAACTTTTCTTTACACCTTTATAACATAATATAAAGTAGATCTAGTTAATGTTGACTCCCATCTAGCCTTGCCCTGAATTTATGAATGAATATATTGAATAGGAGGAGGAGCTGTACTCCTGTATAACTATGCAATGAAAATCGAGAACTAACCAGGTGGTAGTCTGGGGAAGGAACAGTCGTCTGAAAGTAAAATTTCTTGATTCTTGATGGACTGTGTCACGTGTGAAAACCCGACTCTTGTAAGTCTTGTTGTACAACAGTTGACTTATCCTGCTGCGGAGAATTGTGAGCTCCTATTCTGGGCAATAGACAATAGTGCCCTTGTCAACTTACTGTTTTGATTTCATTCGTCTGTGTTGTTGCAGTTGCTGAATTTGTCCAAAAATGATGAACATCAACCATAAATTTTGGTTCAAAACAGTAGAGTGCAGTAGAATGCAATGTCATTTAAAATCTTTTGATTTCGTTCTGAGTTTCCATTCTTGTCCATAAATATCATCGTTTGTATTCGTCTCATTCCAGATGGAGCATGATGTTTGTGACAAAAAGGAAATGGGCAGTACATTACATGACGATATGACACCCAGTCGCCCGGCATCGTTGTCCTTGAAAGAGGCAGGGGAGGCTGGCTCCAAGCACAAAGATTTTTTTCAAACGCCTCTGAACACTGAGCTGCTGCTACACAATGAGAGGGGCACTCTCCGCAGCGTCGACAGTGGCTTCTCCGAGAGAAGTGTTTTTTCCTTGCTCGGTGATGAAACGCCAGGTCTGTCTGCAAGCCGTGTGCCTTCTGGTGTGGAAGACAATGAAATTTGCAACTCTAGTGGAGTGGACTCTTTGCCTGACAACAATTTTTCTCCTACATCTCATCTGCACAATATTGCTGGGAGAGCGAGGAGGTTGAAATTTCATCCATTTGATGAACGACCACCTGCTTTTCAACTTTTGTCCTCTTTAGAAGACGATGGTGAGGAAGGCGCTGATGAGAGATTAAGTAGGGGGAATAACAGCTTAGATAGCAGAGAAAACAAAGGTGAGACTGAGAAGCAGATATCAGCATCACTAGTGCAAAATACTCTAGAATCTGAAAAAAGTTCTTCGAGTTCTCTCTCTAGCAGTACGGATGACTTAGAGCTCAGTTTGCAGGAAATGTCGTTAGAAGAATCTTCATCTGGCAGTATGACGTCTCTAGTCTCTCGCACTTCTCCAATTTATCACACTGATGCTCATGTGAGAATTGATCAGAACTCTGCTTCAATATTTAAACGGGACAGCATAATAAAGTCAAGGAAGGAGGAGACACAAGAGCCTGATCTTGATTTTGAAGCCAGTGAAGCACTGTCCAGCATGAGTATATCACCTCCTGTAATGTCCACCCTCCCTTCCATAAATGGCAAAGAACATTCCTCTTCCGGTGTTGCTGAAGGCTCTCCACATGAGCAACAAGAGTTTCTGAAATCACTGTCTCTCACAAGAAGACTGCTTCCAGAAATATCCTCTCCCTCCGCCTCGACGTCAGCCTGTCCTGAACACCCTATTGGTCAACAAACAGCATTCCTTGATGACACAGAGGCTATGTTACAGGAGAGCAGCTTAGATGCGACATTAACGTTTGATGTTCCGCACTCTCCACCAAGAGACTGTGAAATTGTTTGCATCTGTGGTAGGAGAAAATCTCTCCATCTCTCTAGAGTTCCACTACTTCCCCACGAGTATGATCATTTTGAGTCAGAGTGTCCTGTTTGTTCCAACGTCATATTGGAAAGCCCTGGCAAAAGTACTAGTCGTAGGCCAAGCCCTGACCAAGAGTTCATGTCACTACAAAGTCCGTCCAAAGCTATGAAAACCTCCCTGCTGTCACCTGCCCTAACTGGAAATATCAAGAGAGTGACAAGAAGCCCAAACAAAAAAGCCAGAGAGAAAAGTTCGACAGATGGTACAACCGTAGTGAAAAAGAAGAGTGTAAAACGAAGCATTTTTTCTGATAGCTCAGTTGTTTCAGGGCAAAGCCCTCAGTCGTACAACTCCCAAATGTCTGGCTCTACAAATTATGATGAGAAAACAATGGAGGAAATTATGTTGTTAGAGGAAGAAAAAGTTGATAGTTTTAGAGTTGGCGGGTCCGAGTCTCCTTTCCATGGTCTTGTGCAATATTCACCTGAAAGAAAAGCTCACGCCACCCATGATATCCTTTACAGAGATGGTGCAAACAACGATTTGGACTTAGAGTCACTATTGGAACAAGTTGTGGACAAATTCTCTCCTAGAGAGCCATCTCGTTTGATAGGTTGTCGAATTGGTGTAATCAAATTTGACATTCTTGGAGAGCTTAGCAGCAAAAACTTCCTATTCTGCGTTCAGCAAATCCTGGAGCATCTGAGTGATCAAGACTTGGACACGTGAGTGTGACAATGAATACTTGTCTATGTTGGTTTTCTTCTTTTCATACATCATTTTGGCCATGTGTTTCATGAAGGAAAATGGACCTTTTTCATTTTTGTCTGGACAGCTACTAAGTGTGGCCTCAACGGCTTGACATGTCATTTCAGAAATTAGACTGATAAATCAATGCATCAGCTAACTCTGATTTTACAATGTTTACAGGCCCCGTTGATGTTTCAGATTTGACAGTTTTTAAATCACAAATAATTGCTGAAAGGAAAGAAAAAATAGTTTTCATGGATTTTTATATCATGTATCTGTACTAAAATGTGAAAAAGCATGTAATAATTTCTTTCCCTGTTATTACTATAATTCTAATTTTCGAATTTTAGAAAAAGTGCACTACATATTATAATCAACGATGTATTTTCACAATTTTTACTTTATTCAGAAAATCAAAAATGTTGTGTTTTTTTTATTTGGCCGTTGGCTGTTTGTTCATAGAGGCTTCTTTTGGAATGGTGATCAGAGGCTGCCCCCTTCCGCTCCCACAACCGCATCACCTATGATCTTGTACCTCTGTCATCTGTTACTTCTGTTTCCTTGCTTTTATAGGTCACCACACTTGTCTTATTGTGTGATGTGCTTCTTTTTAACCCAAACATCCATCAACAAACCCACAGAATGTGTCAAGTGAGCATGGTCTGGAAGTCTGCCTTGTTCAATGACCTGCGAGCGTCCAGCAGATATAAGCTGTACTGCGCTCTCCAGATGAGGCAGGCTGTGTTGATTGGCAAGGTGACTAGTCTGTTCCTAACCATGTACACCGTAAATCTCACTGCACACTCTCAAATCCTTCACACATTTTAACGCAAGCTCATTTTTAAATTAGTATTTGTCATGGGCTCGCTTTTTAAATAAAAATAAAAATTAATAGATGTAGTGCTTTGAAAAACGTTGTTGTTGCCTTTAAATTTAGGGAGTGTATACGGACCCGGTAACCGAGAACAAAGTCACAAAGTATACAGACCCGGTAGGGGAACTCTTTTGTGATTTCGGAGAGTTTCAGCGCCCTCTTGGCTCAGGGTAGACTTAGGTTCTTCTAAATCTATGGTCTAGATCTAGATCTAAGTAGACAGACTTAAATCTTTCCTCTAGTTTCGCGGCTAACCTAGATCTAAATGAAGATTGCGGATGTCTTTTCGATTAACGATGGTTTTTCCTCCGTTTTGGAGTTGGAGGAATCACAATTTGAAGAAAAGAACAAGTTACAATGTCATAATTTCAATCGAGCAGTCCCCTCTCTCTCTCTCTCTCTCTCTCTCTCTCTCTCTCTCTCTCTCTCTCTCTCACACACACACACACAAGATTTCTACCGGGTCCACAGAATTCTACACTTAGAAGTGTAGAATTCTGTGACCGGGTCTGAGGTCTGAAACTTCCCGAAATAAATCACAAAAGAGTTCCCCTACCGGGTCTGTATACTTCGTGACTTTGTTCCCGGTTACCGGGTCTGTATACACTTCGTTAAATTTATATACTGTCATAATTTCTTTGTTACAAAAACAGTTATTGGACAAACGAACGTTTCATAAACTGTCCAGGTGCAATTTTACTTTTCAAACTTTTTATTTCAATTAAGATTTTAACTTTAAGAACCCCTGCTTTCATGATACTCCTTTGATTCTCAATTAACATTTAAGAAACCTCTCAGATGGGAGATATATATATATATATGCGCCCCCATGCTTGTTTATAAGTTATAAATGTGACACATTTTAAAATGTATAGCATAGGCACTGGGTCATTTAATGAGTATTGGTTTTTCTTTTTAAATTCCTGAAAATTTTCACTTGGTCACTTGGTGGTGTATAATTGTAGGTCTCTGATCATCATCATCATCATCAAGTCACTCCTGTCTTTGCTGAAGTCAGGTCGGACTTGTGTCTCCCCCCCCCCCCCTATAAACTTGTGAGGAGAGTCTCAAATTCTTCTGAAGTTTCCAGAATTTATAAATTTAAAAGAAAAATGTTTTAGATGCCTTTATTTTGTGTTATGAAATGTTCCAGTTTGTGCAAGTTCTGACATGTTCAGGAAAGCCTGCTTGGTCTAGGTAGCACTCCTACTTTTTGTTGTTTCATGTTGCTTGTTATAACTGAATGTAGTTTTATTTTCTACTTATAATTTCTTGTGTTTTATATCTCTTGAAACTTGAACTAATGACTTTGTGTAGCCCAAGTGAGAGTGAGATAACTCTGAGAGATTTTCATTCTTGAATTGTCAACTGGTTCGTGTATATATATGTCTTTTTATGTAAACTTCCTTTTAACACTTTGGCGCCTCATCTCGCCGATTGGCGATGTTTACCACCCAGTGTCTTTGGATATTCCCCACAATATGATGGCAAAGTGTTAAAGGGTGGAAAGGGGAAGTACGACAGTTTTTCCTGTTCTCATGGAAATGTTAGCTAGCTGTATTCAAGCATTTTTGGCCGCAGTGGTGTGTGTCCTCTACATGACTGGGATGTAAAGTGGCATGTGTTGGACAAGATGGGAGCCTCTGTGGACATATTTAAGCTTGCAAGACTGTCTATGGAATGTGTAACTGTATGATGTGACCCACTACTTACTGATGGTTCAGTGAAAATGCTGTTTTGTTTAATAGCGATTGTAAAGTAGTCACTGTGTTACTTACTCAAGGTTTGAATTGAAAATTTTTCACAGGAAAATGCTAAAGAAAAATCCTTGGAGTCTGAGCAGTATGAAACTCTAACAGCCTCAAAGGGCCGCCTTACTGCCGTCCAGCTACAAGCAGCAAGGCCAGAGCATTCATCACAGGAAATTCCAAAGGTACATAGAATAAATTTAGACTTTACATTTAAAAAAAGTGGACATTTCTTTATGATATGGTGGGATTAGAACAAGTACATCAATCTTTCTAACAACAAAAATCATCTTTCCCTTGTCTTATTTTCTTTCCAATTAGATCAGATAGTCCTCGTCTAAAAGGTATCGGTAGTTTTTGAAAGTAATTATATATTCATTTTCATCATTTCAATCAGTCACGTCATCCCCTGTGTCACACTTCAATTTTTTGTCTTGAGACCTGGAAAGCTAACTGTCATGTTTGCTTTGATTGACAAGGGATCTTTTCGTGTCGTAAAGCGAGAATTGTATTTTGCTGAAGAATGATGTAACATTTTCGTGTTTGCACTGTACTGTTTAGCATGCATGCAGAAAAAGCAAGCTTGATTACTGTGTTGAGGAAATTTTATTAGTATCTCTTAATTTTTCTGATGAGATGTGTCCCACACAGGCTGGATTAGCCCTGACAAGCAAGGTCGGAGCAGCCTACCTCTTAGATGATCTAAATTACATCAACTGGGGAACATTATGATTTACATTTATTTATGACAACTTTCCAAGTAATGTAAAAAATGCTGAATGTGTGGAAGCTTTTAAACTTTAACCTCAACAATGTCAGGAAAGTAGGCTTTTTTCTGCTGTTGCATCTGACTTTATCCTCAATGAAAATGTAGTGGTGGGTCATTGAAGACACTACATTTAGGTCCAACTTAGAACTCCCCCCCTCCCCCCTGCACTAAATGGCTACTGTCAATGTTGTGTCTATGTCTGCTCTAGTCTAACTCATTCAAAGACCCAAAGTTTTCAAGGAAAATTCCAGATTCTTTTTGTTGCTTCTATTGAAGAACATCTTGTAGACATGCATATACAGCCAAGTTTTATTCTATGTTTTCATTTCCTGCCCATGTCTCTTTGGAACAAAACTCCTCTAACTGTTCTCGTTTGATTGTACAGCCTCCCTTGGAGCTGCTATCAGGTGACAAGCTACGGTCCTGCCCCCACTGCCAGGCTCCGGCCAAGGAGATGGAGTGTCAGGACCGAGCCGTGTGCTCCTCTGAGACCTGTGCCTACGACTTCTGCACGCTGTGCTTCGCCGCATTCCATGCCACCAAACGCTGCAAGCCGCTCTGTTTGACCTCGTCAAGAAATGACATGGCTGGTACCCGAAAGAGTCGAAAAAACCTCAGACGATTATGACGATACCCATTGCCATTAGATAAGAGTTACTTGTTTTTAGTTCGTGAAAAGAACCGCTCAATTTGGGCCCTGCTCAGTTCCTGTGTGTTAATCGTTGAAGTTGACCCGTGTTGTGGCACGATTGAATCAATCCTAACTTGTGATCATTTCTATTCGTAAGGTTTGTGTCTGATTTGCGAGAATGTGCTCCTGTGCGTGAGATATTCCTTATTCTCCTTATTCTCCTTATCTTGCTACCTATCTCTTAACAGGAACCTTACTTCAACCTCGGACCAAAAGGTTCTTTAAATTCTCTTGTAAATTGTTTCTTCAAAGGATAAATTTAATTGTAAACTGCAAGTCTTCCAAGTTAGATTCTGTTGCCAGTAGAACTTTCAACTTGAAGAAGGAAAAGAAAACAGTAGCCTTGGCTGTGATGATTTGTTTAGGCTGTGACGTTGAAACCATAATATTGGCACAGAATTTCTCTCGGCACACAAATGTGTTGAGTGATTTCAAAAATATTTATTAGATATTCTTTTAGTGCTTTTTTAAAATGCGCTTGAAGTGTGACCACTGAGTCATCAACTGTTGTTATCCAATCTTATACCAGAAGAAAAAAAAAACAACCAAAAAAAAACGTAAACTGGAAAAGGAAAATAAAAACCTAAAATGAATTGTATCATTTTGTTTATTTGAAATGAATCTCTACAGTCATGAAAGTAAAGATGCATTTCACAGAAGTCAATGCATGGCTCCCATTGTTATGTTATACCGCCCAAAAAAAAGTAAGAAAAAAAATTGAAAGATAAAGAAAGCTTTCAAATGGGGGGGGGGGGGTTATGTTATGCCATTGATTGTTGGAAATTATAGGTGAGCTGGGGAGGGCTGTTGTTGTTGTCGATCCCATCTGTTTGAAGTAAGGTTTTTAGCCTGTCTGTCCTGTGACTTTTGTCAAGTCTCTTTTGTGTAACTCTTGATATTCTCACTTTTCGCCTGCCCTATCTGGTTGAAGAATAAATATATATATCTTAAGTCTGTGTCAAAATCCAGTTTTGTGCCGACAACTTTCTCCTGTATTAGTTAAGTCAAACATATGATTAATTTGTTCTATACTATATAACTTTTTTCTCCCTTAAAAGCAAGTTCCAGTCACGTGGCTGTTGAAATATGTGTGCTTGTTACAATCTTCACCTTAGATCTGGCTGACTTTGTGTTTGTGACTCAGCAAATATGTGCCACTTTTCGTACCCATTCTTTGTTCTTTTTTCTTTTTTTAATCGTCCTCACATAAGGTAAGCTTTCATGGTCAGATTTTGACCACATGCTCTGCCTACCTATTATGTTAGTATTATTCTTTTCCCTGAGAGTTTGTTGTATTTTTCTCAACATATTTTTGAATCAGTTATTGTATAGAATGTTGACCAGTTTAGGGCAAAATGATTATTATGTTGTTAGTAAAAACAAAATTACGATGAAAAAAATATTGTTTTTGTTGATCAGCCTGGATCTAGATTTAAGTTTCAACAATTCATTTCTGTTGATTGCATGAAATACTCAGAAGATATTTGTTCAAATAGGCATTTATTTTGTTAGTTCTATTTTAATCACAGAGTTCTTCATTATTATCCGTCTATTTTCCTGTTTTTCTGAAAAACTTCTTTTGTCAATGTATGTTGCAACTCTTTTTTTGTGTTCTGTCGATTAGTGCTTAAAATTCATATATTGGGGAATGTGATATTTTCTCTAGTATCTTTTGAATTCAAGTGTGTTGTCAGTTAGCTATAGTCGTACAAATTTTTATGACCCTATATAATATTAATACGTCAATATTTTTTTGGGAATAGTTGTGAACTTTATCTTTAAAGAAGTGACAGAAATTACTGTGAAGTGTTTTGCTCCAAATCATAAATGATACTGACTGATGTTGACCCGTGCTGGGCGCTCTCTCTCTCTCTCTCTCACTGGGCGCGCTCTCTCTCTCTCTCTCTCTCTCTCACACAAGAGTGTTGAGTGTAGAGTCTGGAAAGCATGATGTATAAAATATAATTTATTAATCAGCTCAACATCAGAGTTCACCTTTGTAGTGTTGCCATGTCTTTGATCTCAGCTCTGAAATATGTGCTGAATGATGATGCAATACTTTTCTCTTACATGACGTAAAATTTAATTAGTTCTCTTTTATTATTATTATTTTTTTAAACCTGTGAAATAAAACCGATGCTACAGTGAGTACTGCCAGTCTGTTTCAAATATTATGACATGTATTAAATAATTTATTTCCTAACAATAGCTGAACATTTGTGAGGTATCGTGGTGAAATCAGGCGCTCGTCAAAATACAAGGAAATTGAAGAAACAGGCATTTTTTTCTCTAGTTTGGCAATATTTTTTTAACTTTTGCTGTTTGGCTCAACACCTATCAATAAAAAAAATATTGATTAACACTTTCCACCCTCGCAGAGCGCGCAATACTTTTCCCCACGGACCAGGATACAGTTGCGGTACATGCTTTCATACTGTCACCGATCGGCGTCCCGTTTGGGAAAAGGGATGGCTTCTTACCATCGCCAATCAGCGCCCAGTTTGGGGCAAAGTGTTAATGGCACAAAAATGCACATTTTCCTTTTTCAAGGACTCTCAGTCTCAAGTTATAGAAGTTACGAAACTTTGGCGGCCATTTTCTCGTTAATTTTAATTAAACAAGGCTACCCCCACCTCCTTCAATCGGAAATATCTCAGCGTCTTTTCAAGATAGGATGGGTATTTTTTCATAGAAAGCAAGATATATGACAAAAATTTCAGGCGATTTCATTCAATAACTCCACAAGTCCGAAAATTGACGAGCGCCTGATTCCACCGTGTTGTGACACAACTGCTTTTGTTTCTCTGTGCCATAGCTGTCAGACAGTCATGTGACTGGCCAACAGTATTTTTTTTGCCTGTTATTAGTGTTATTAGCCATTAAAGTATTCCTATATCAGTATCGTCATGAAGTTTTAATAGACTTGCAGGTGAAATGCTTTGCATATATTGTTAAAGCAGAATATTATGAATAACATCATGGTATTCCAGGGAAGATAATGTTAGTTTACACTTCCATGACATGTTTGATACCGGTGTACGTCAAGGCAAAAGTTAAGATTTTTGGGTAATTATTGCACTGCCTATTCCTGTTTTTTAATCCATTTTCTGGGAGAATTTGGGCAACTTCTCTCTTGAATTCCATAATGTTACAGTGAGTGGGGGTATTGTTGTCCGTACCTGAGCCATGGGAATTGAAAAAAAAATCTTGGTTTTTATATCACTCTACTATCTATATGCCAGACAAAAACAGGGGGATGCCAACAGCAGGGTTAAGAGTTAAGATGAATTAGGTAGGATTTGAGGACCAACAGTGCTCAGAAATTATTAGATTACAACATGTTTCAGTTTCAGGCTTTTTTGTGTGTTTTTACAAACTGAAAAGTTTTAATTTGAGTATTGTGTTTCTAAAAGTAAAAGGCATAGCTTTGTGACTGTTTTCTTATCTGTCAGATAATATTAGAATCTTTTATAACAACCATATATATGAACACATGTGAAGGATATAGGTCTATCAAAATAAGATTGAGCCTGTCTTTATATAATTGCGAAAATCAAATTTTAACAATTTTTGTGCAAGAGGTATGTGTGCTCATCAATGCCTGCCTCCGCCTATCTCAATTAGAAATTATTTTTTTTTAACATCCGATACCTAGAGCCATTTTCAACAAACGAATGAGGCCATGGAGAATGTTACTTTTTTATAATTGCTGATCTGATGTAGAGTAGCTGTTATAAGTGGGTGGTTGGCGGGTTCTCTAGTGTAGTTTGCTTCTTCTTTCCTATCAAATATCTATCGTCTTTATCTACTCTCCTTTTTTGTGTTTGTTACTCTATTGTAACACATCTAATCTTCGGTGACGGTACTTGTATGACCTTATTGTGTTGCAAGTGCCATAAAACTCTTACGAAAACTAAAGGTTAAGTTTAACTCTAGATTCTTCCTGAAAAGTCCTGAACCATTTATGTGATATAATGGAATGTGCTGTTTGCTGTGATTGTGCTGGATATGGAAGCGGGCGAAACGAGTAGTGGGAGATGTTGGGGTAGAACAGGGTGAGGTGTAAGTCTGATAATAATGACAACATACAAAAATACAATATAAGTTTTAGCTGGAAAGTGTACATGTTTTGATACGAGAGTTTTAATGAATAAAAAATCGGTGCATGCTTGCATATTTTTATGACCCAATACATATATGTATAATTGATGTTCTATTGTATTGTTTCTTTCTTTGATGCTTTTTAAGATGTAAAGTCTGCAATAATGTCATGCATTTCATTGAATACAAAGTATTATAATTCAGGGGATAAAAAGTTGGTCTTTGATTTTTTAAATATATGTACATATGTATTGTGTTGTGTGTTCATGTTTGTTTTTGGTAACACTGTATTAATACATATATTATTACCAGGGGTCTGAATATTCCACTATTTAGCGGATTTGCGCTTCCGCCATTTCCTCTGCTAAACTCCACTGCTGAGAGGAGCACCTCCCAGTAATGCATCACCACTTTCTGTACATAATCAAGATTGTGATGTAAATATTTGGTAAGAGACTCTTTTACTTGAAATTATTTTCCAAACCCTCAAATTGGTATGAAATAACCTTGCTTTGATAAATCGATGGTTTTTATCTCAGCATTCTAGGCTTAAACAGTATAATAATAATGGGTGTCCCACGAAAATGGTCTTCTGTCGCGATAACACGGAAAGTTCCTCCTTTTTAAAAAAAAAATTCTGAGTTGAGACCCATGTGTAATTCACCAGAATGTTTGTTTTTTTTGGTCTAATGCCTCAGCTCATTCTTAGCGGCCTTCAATTCTTTTTCTAGTGGTAGTAGATGGCTTGTGCAGCTTGAAAATGACTTTGTTGTGTATGCTGTTTCTTTGTCTTAATAGTTTCTTCTTCTTTTATCAAGTATCCGCTGTATCTCAATCATCCCAAGTTAGCCCGATGGGCTAGGTCAAAGTCAAAGCAGCCTGCCCACTAAATGATCTAAATGGTCACTGGAAAAGTAAAAAGAATTGTGGTGGTGGTTGATGGATGTTCTTGTTCTACTGAGGTCCATCCCTGCTTCTATACTTAAAGTCGACTGCAGTTGAGTTGATGTTGTCGGAGTACTCAGAGGAGTGAAAAGTAGATCAATTCATCCGAAGTTCATCTTAAGGGAAGACACGGGTTGGCGACCCCTGTGAATATCGATAAAAATTTTAGAAATATCTAATTTTTGTTTGACATCTGGAACTATCAGGTCACAACGACGAAACTGTTGAAAAAACACCCTAAATGACCTAAAAGGGCGTTTGAAAATTGCGTACTGCAAAGCTTCCTACAAGGGCAAAACCACCACATGCATGCAGCTCGGAAATCCTCAAGGAATTTTAGCCAAATTTGCTGTTTTTTTATCGACTTGTGTCCTACACCACGAACATTCCTCAGTTAAAATTTCTAGTGCATGTCATAAATGGACGTACTGTCTCGAACTGTGTTCACTTTGCCATTTGGTTGCAATATAACTTTATAAGCCGCCGTTTGCGCAAAATCCAGAGTCGCATCAACATGTCACCAAAACGAAAGCTGAGAGACTTTGTTGATGGTGCCAGGGCTATGGCATGGCTGCAGGGTGGAGTTTGGGCTCGAGAAGTTGCCAGAAGGCTTGCAGTGTCATACTCTGTCATTGTCCGCCCGAGGCAACGCCATCAAGCCACTGGATCGGTCCAAGAACGGCCACGAGCAATTCTACCCAAGAAGACCACTCAAGAGTGTTTGCAAGTGATCCTTTTAATTAACTATGTTAAGTCTGAATTATCACTGTATCATCATTGTACAATATATGGCTCTTCAGCTGACTTTACTTTTTCAAATCAAACAACTACCTGTTGTGTCATTGACCTAGCGGTTGGGCTCTCACACCCGCAACAGATGGTCCTGGGTTCGAATCTCGTTAGGGGCCCGACTTTGTGTCCTTGGGAAAGGCACTTTGCACAAATTTTCCTCACTTCCCCCAGGTGGGAATGGGTACCCAGCTCTTGACAGTTGAGACAATGAAAGATCTTGTCAGTTTGTTAGTGTTTGAGCGCTTAATCAGCTGCTTGCACTGTGTATGCTTCCTGGGAAGCTGAGAATGTTTCTGAGTGTTCTATGGTCTGCTGGGGTAATAATATAATATAGTGCAAAGCCCATAGAGCTTGCTGTCGAGCGGGGATATATAATATGCACTACCGGTATACAAATGCTATTTATTAATATTATTATTAAATAGAACCAGTGATGTGACTGTGTGGTCCTTAATAACCCCAAAGTGGAAGTTCCACCAGAGAAAGTCTTGTGGGTGCTCTGGTGAGGTTTTTCTTCTTTCCTTCAAAAGCAAACATCTCTACCGTCCTTATCTTTCCTCCATCTTTTCTTTGTGTTACTGTACAGTAACAGCACCTCATATCTTTGGTAGGCCTATATATAATAATAATAAGAGCATTTGTATCCCGCCTTTCCCCACAGCATGGGCCCAAGGCGTACATAGGAGATTAAAAACGCATTCATACTAACACCATACAAATTCATCATGTGCGCACTTTTTGACAGCAACATTCTTTCAGACAATAAAAAATGCTCATACAAAAAGGCAAAGGTACTGTCCATTAATTAAAATATTTCTTAAATAGATGTGTTTTGAGTCCCCTTTTGAAGGTATCAAGTTTTATTTCGCTCCTCAAATCATGAGGGAGAGTGTTCCAAACTGTTGGCCCAGAAAAAAGAAAAAGCTCTCTCACCATATTTCTTCAGACACACACGAGGTGTTGAAATTAGTCTAGAGCCACTGGATCTTAGTTCACATGATAGTGTGTATGATACAATGAGTTCTTGAATGTATGTGGGAGACTGGTTAGTTTGACCCTTAAAGCATAGTAGGGCTAACTTATATTCAATTCTCGCTTTCAGTGGAAGCCGATGGAGCTCTTTAAGTAGGGGAGTCACATGATGGCGTTTTGATTGCTTTAATACTGGCCTGGCAGCATTGTTTTGAATGCGTTGGAGTTTTGCAATTTTTTCTTCGGGTATATGACCTATTTGTGTTGAAAGTGTTGTAATACTATAATATTGCTAAAAAAAATATACATATAGAGATCTAGTCCTAAACCCCAAACTGGGAGTTCCACCAAAGAAATTCTTGTCTGATATAGAACACAATGGACAAGTACTTATTGAACAGTGTGGCCATGTCACACTACAGGACCAGTAATTGTAAGTGTAAGATTGCAGGTTCGGTGGTTTCATTCAGCCTCAGCTCGGTTCGACGTTGTGTCCTTGGGAGAAGCACTTAACATAAGTTTCCTATTTGGCCCGGTCCTTTCGAAGACGGACATTAAACTAAACGCAGAGGTCCTTCCTCTCAAATAACCTAACAGGGTTAGTAAGGTCGTGAAACCTATACATGTACCATTTCTTTTTTTATTGGATAGTAGCAACATTACCTTATGTATATTCTTCATATTTTTATTCGGTCTTCTATTTTTTTAAAAAATACAGTGGTGTCTGACAGTGACAAATTTCAAATGTCCTTAGCATGTCCTTTCATGAAGCATGCTACAAAAGCAAAAACTAGTGACAGTGTCCACTTATGGGACAATGGGAGCATAATCTATATATTATATATACATGTATATATTTGTGAAAGTTTGTCACTTTGGTCACCTAAAACTTCCAAACGGTGGTTCAGAATTATATAAAGGGTGCACAGTTACATGTATATTAAGGAGTCTGAAGTCACTGCAGTTTAATTTTCAGTTTTGCATTAGTTACGTTTAGATCTAATCTTGGGAAAGTTTGTCTTCTAAGATGCCATTGTAAACAAGTGAGGCTTCCGTTCACATGCAGTGCCCACTGATCCCACAATGACTTAACGATCGATTCTTTTGAGTCCGTTCATCAAAAGCGGTACCCAGCTAGTTTATAATAAACCCCAAAACCATTTGCATCAACTATTGAAGAGTTGGTCTCGTGAAAAATGGATAAACTCATCCAAAGTTCAACAAAACTACAGAAAAAGAGGTGTTGGGACGCGAGAAAAAGTAACAGAGTTCAACAAAAGTCAAGTCGACTGCAGGCCTTCTACATGTACTATCTTTACAAAATAAACAGGTCTATTTCATGAACATCCAAACAAAACAAAATAACCCGAAGAATAAATTTACAAAATATAGGCCTACCTTTATTGAATACTTTCTATTCTAACAACGAAAAACATCAAAACATTTTTTTTACATTACGGTACATGCATCATGTATGTTAGAAACATTTGAAAACAGACATGCAGGGTAACCTTTACAAAAATATTTAAATGTCCAAAGCTAACTATGTGAGTCATACTGCTGGACACAGACAATATAATATGTTTGTAAGAGAATACAAGAGGCCATTTTTGAAATCTCGAAGAAAAAAACAACAACTGGATTCTCAATTTCATTTGGAGCCAGAAAAAAACCCAACATTTAAGCTCACACAGACAAAATATGAACAAAGTTAAACACAAAAACAGGCAGTGGAGACTTATCAACATAGGCTAATGCGAAGAACGATATTGAACATGAAATTTAGGTACAAAATGTTGATGAATGGAATACTGACAAAACTTTTCTGCTCAATCATAAAAATAAAAAGCAGTTGTGACAAATTCCTGAGGTTAATGTCATACAGGGCTATAATCTGCAGACAGCAACATGCAAAATTACAGTACTCATCAAAGACAGAGACGCAAGTCTCATCAATCAACTTACAAATTCATCTGAGATTTTGGCAAGAGACATGATATAATCCTGAACAGCAATGTGAATGTCTATAGACCAGGGGTGTCAAACTCAATCGCACAGGGGACTCTAAATTCAAATTACATGAGAGGTATCGGGCCAAAGCCAAATTGGGTCAACGCTCACTGAGCTACAAAAACTAGTCAGCTGCGGATGAGTTGATCATGTCGGGGGACTGAAATAAAAGATCAACTCGTCCAAAGTTCAACTTAACACATTACACCCTAAGGGTTGGGACGGGAAGCCTATTCCTAGATCTTAAGCAGGGGGAAGGAACCCACTTCCCGTAAATACAAACGTTTTAAAAAACACATTAAAAAAAAACCTAAACAAATTCCAAAAATCCTGAAAAAATAAAAGTTAAAAAGAAAAATGAACGTAGTTTCAGAAAAATATAACTTTATGTATGCGCAAACTGTTGGATATGTTGTAACTTTAGTTCAATCGGGGTGTCCGACCCGTTGCTCTCAGCCTCGCGGTCGGACCCTAGATCTACATTCTACATCTGATCAATCTGGATCGCCCCAAACTCTTGCTACATTTTCATCAAAATCTGATTCATCTGATTTGTCATACGCTTGTTTTTGCTCAAATCCATCATATTTCTTTTTTCAAACTCAGTTGTGTTGCTTTTTAACAAGTCGAGACTCCTTCGAAGTGTTGGAAACGCGATCGCACTTCGATCGGCTCTAATACTAAAACTACAGGCCCGAAACATTTCGTTTCGATATATAAAAAGGAAAAAGAAACATTTTGCAATAACTATGCAAATCAAAATCTCGGCATCAGAGTCTCGTCGTTTCTAAAGACGCTAGGTTGGCGTGACATTATTCACCATCCAACAATGAAACTTAACATGCAAAAAAGCAAAAAAACATTCTGCACAATGCAAAATACATTTTTAAGATATCTTGAAGGGACAGCAGTTAGAACCCCCCCCCCCCCCCCCAAGAAGATCAGCCCAGTAACACATCCAATAACAGAAAATAAAATACCATAAGGAACTTGAACTCAAGGAATTTCATAATGGCTGCACCCCATCTACTGATTTTACCCGAAACTCCTCGGGTCTGGCAGCAAACGAGTTCAACAATTATAATGGGAATCAAAACAGACAAAAGTTAACATAATAACACACCAAAGCAGAGACCAATTTTCATTCTTATGCCTATCAAAATATTTCAGAGCTTGAAGTACGGCATCTTTTCTCTTTTCTTGATTACGAGGCTGTTTCATGTTTTGAGTAAAGTTCTGTGTTATGGAGATTCTCGAGAGGGAGAAATTAACACATTACACGCTAAGGGTCTGGACAGGAAGTCTACCCCAAGATCCTACGCAAGGGGAAGCAACCTACCTCTTGTCAATAAACTCATTAAAAAAAAAAAAACATTAAAAAAAATACTAAGCAAATTTTTAAAATCCTGAAAAACTAGAATTTAGAAAAAAATGAATGTAGTTTCAGAAAAATATTACTTTATGTATGCACAAACTGTTGGAAATGTTCTAATTTTAGTTCAATTTGAGTGTCCGACCTGTCACTCTTACTCTCAGCCTCATGGTCGGGCCCTAGATCTAAATTCTACATCTGATTGATCTGAATCACCCCAAACTCTTGCAACAACGTTTTCATCAACATCTGATTTGTCATTTTTTTTGGTTCTTGCTCAAATCCACCGTTATTTCCTTTTTCAAACTCAATTGTTTCGCTTTTCAACAAATCAAGACACCCTCAAAGTGTTGGAAACGAGATCGCACTTCGATCGGCTGTAATACTAAACTAAAACGGCTAACCTGAAAAATTTCGTTTCGGTATCAAACGGAAAAAGAAACATTTTGCAATAACTATGTAAAACAAAATCTCAGCCCCAGAGTTTTGTTAAGGCAAGATATCCGTTTCTAAAGACATCTGGTCAGGGCAGGCGATTCTGGGCGAGTTAGGGAGGAGCGCGTAGAGAAATTCCGCGGGCGATCGCGGGCAAGTTAGAGTGTACTGTGTTAAAATTCTCTTGCAGGCGGGACACAATTGTTCGATGGGCCAAAATAGGCCCTTGGGTTTTGAGTTTGACACCTGTGCTATAGCCATACAAACTTCTGTCATCTCTTTCCCTGTATGCACAACAAACTGTCACTCTTTGGTAGAAAGTAGACGTAAGCTGATCACGGTGTCTGTCTCAAGCACCCTCTCATGTCCTTGATGTCACCCGACCAAACATGTCTGGAAGATAAATAAAAAATAAAAAATAAAACAAACCAAAAACCCATTGTGAATTCCATATAACAGAACGGAAAACTAAAGTAAACTTAGATTTTAAAAAATTTCACATGAAACTAATGGGGAATGAAATAACACTTTTTAAAAATTGATCCCTTTATAATGGTACGTACAATAATACATGCAATAATAGGTCTTCATCGACTCTCAACCGCAAGATCATGGTTTCGAATCCCATCAGGGGGCCCGACATTGTTTCCTTGGGAAAGGCACTTAACACGAATTTTCCTTACTTCTCCCAGGTGGGAAAGGGTACCCAGCTGTAGATTAAAAAAATTTGGGCACTTCGTCAGTGTTTGAGCATGTGTGCAATCCGCAGTTTACAGTGTATGAATCCTGGAGAGCTAAAAATGTTTCTGAGTGTTCTAGGGTCTGCAGGGGTAATGTTGTTGTAAATAAATCGCATAGAGCATGCTGTAGAGCCTGGATATGTGCTATATAAATATGCAAATTGTTATTCTCATTATTAGATCATTTAGAAGGTGGATTGTTTCAACCACGCCTGTCACTGTCAGGGTCTCAACTTGGACTGGCTGCTTGGGATATGATTGGATGATCCGAGATCAGAGAGTACTTAGTTTAGTTTTTAGTAGAGGTTTTATAGCAATCGCAACTGCATAAGGTCATATGAACGCCATGGGGTGGATGTCAACAGAGAAGTCTTTACAGGGAATCAGACTTACTCTGCTCACCTCTCTAGCTTCAACAGCACAAAGTCTACTTTGACTATCAAGGCACCCCAGAAATAGCGGGTCACAAGAGTGACAAACATACAGAAGAAGTAGAGGAAAAATGATGATAGTAAGGATTAGGAAAGAAAATGTAGCCGTCCCCTGTTGCAGTTCAGGCAGTTATGAGCATGACATTGATGAATCAGCCCATTTACAATTCTACTGACATAAGAAAATGTTAATGTCCCCCCAATGGGAATGGCCTAAAGACACTTCAGTGGCACTGCCCCGCGGGATTTCCAAGATCAGAGAATACTTACTTACACCAGATATTCATTAATGAAATAGAAAAGGAGACCCACCCAGAGGTGACAACACGGAAGAAATTTGAGAGAAAAAAATACCCCCAAATTTATAACATAAAAAGACAGCTTTTCAGATATTTCAGTTTCTGCTGCAGTTTATCCTCGGCTAAATAAGTTTTCCTAAAAACATCAAATGTGGACAGTCCATGCATGGGCCACTAGTACCAACCTGAAGATTCTCATGTCTTCCACCTGCTGCTCAAACTGCTTGGCTTTCTTCAGGGCGCTCTGAATGACCTGCCGAAACAAAAAGTTTCTTGATTTTTCTTATGTGATGTATTGAGCCCTAAAAAAAACTTGCTATTAATGTTTTTAGTTTTAGTAAGAGTTTTACGGCACTTGCAACACAACAATAAGGTCATATAAGTGCCGAAGATTAGAGGTGTTACAAGAGAGTAACTAACAAACACAAAAAAGGAGGGGAGATAGAGCTGACAGATTTTTTATAGGAAAGAAGGAGCAAACCCCATCAGAGCACCCACCAACCACCCACACTATTAATGTGATAAAATAACAATTTTCATCTACATCATCAAATAATAATTCTTTCGTTCACTCTTTTTTAGCAGCACCGCTTTCATTAAATATTATGAAGCAAATAGTTATGCTGTGTTTTGAATTAAGCGCAGTTAAACTTTTTTTTATCCAAACCTCTACAAAATTATCTCAAATTCCTTTGAAGGTTTGAGCCCCCACTGAAGACAGAGCTATTTAGATCAATGTGATGAACCTTGTATCCACATACAACATATTTAAATTACTTCTCTGGGAGACATTTTCGTATGTTACGTCATCAACAGGTTGACCGTTCAGGTTGTGGTCAAGTAATACCGGTCGCCTCGTTTCAGTCTTTTGGACAACTTTTTTGTTTCTGGTAAGTGTTTTACGGCGCTCGCAACTGCATAAGGTCATACTGACGCACAGGACACATTAAACTTTTTCAGTTGGCAGGAAATTTCGAATCTTGCCCAGGTGGCGGCCAAAGCCTACTCTTATCGATTTTAGACCACCAAGGTATCTTTAGTGTGCGCAACTTGCACACGAGACCTCTGAGATTTTTCGCCCTTGTCCGAGAAGGCTAGGCATAGATCTTTCCTACAAGAAGATCAGGGGTGCGGCTGAAAGACAGCAGTAAGAAGGAGCCAAGGAGTAGCAGTAGAAAGGCTGCAGAAAGAGTCAGGAGCCCACAGGAGGGGGCAAAGGGGGTGAAGGGGTGGGGACAGGAAGAGGAGACGAAAGCAGACAACAGAACATTGCTAGAGAGCAGGAAAGGAGGTGAAAGGAGACAATTTTAGAAAAGAAAATTTGTTTTCGGTCGCTACCTGGATTTGAACCCGGGACCTTTAAATGAGAGGCCAACACCTTAACCACGAGAGCCCCCTTTGACAACTTCTATTTGTGTATACACACAGTACATTTCTCAGAGTGAGCTGAAATCGAAACTAGTCCTACGATGTATGTGACGCATCAAGGACAAGAAGATGACAGTTATTTGAAACTGAATTACAGCTGACAATAAAAACCAACCAATCATGGATGCAAGGTCTCTGAATCATTATTTTAAAAAGTAAATCATCTCTCTTGGTTAAAAAAAAAACAACAACAAAATTTCTTAAGCTCTACTAAACTGGATGGGCCTATCACTTTGGAGGTAGGCTACTTAAGCCCATTTTTCTTGTGACTGACAAACTATCAATCATTAAATCAGACACACTTTACCCTCTGCAAGCAGCGTGTAATGCATACCTCTTCCGGAATACTTGCTAGTCTGGCTGCATTGAAGCCGTAACTCTTGGGACAAGCCCCCTTCACAAACTTGTACAGGAATGTGATGGTCTCTTGAGATGGGTCCTCCTCGTTTTCATTTTCCACCATACAGGCCTGAGACAACACAAAAATCATCAATTAATCTTATACTTATATGTAGTACTCACCCCAAATAAAAAGCACAGGCTCTGAGGGCTTTAGTACTTAGAATTTTTCAAGTAACAAAAGGGAGGGAGCAAAACAATAAAAGCATTTTATGTTCTGACTCAAAATTTAGAAATACATTTAGCACACACAGAGCCAAATTTGGAGGAAGCGGAAATCTTTTCCCAATGCATAAACGTCGCTGTTTACATGCGTCAAACACAAAGAATATATTTATGTTATAAAAGAAAAAAATAATGGACCTAAAATTTTGTGCGCTATATGTGTGTTTGTAAAGTGTGCGCCAGAATTTATCCGTTCAATCTAAATTCAATTTTCACAATTGCCGCCTTTTTTACTTCAACATAAAAGCAGCTGTTAATAAGTTACGATCGTGAATATTCTTGGCAGCATGAAAGTAGTCAAACACAGGTAACTCAAATTTGTCGCGGATTGGAAATAGTGTTCGAGATTTCCGTAATTCGTCATGTCAGTGTAAGTAGGTAGCGTAAACACGGCCTCGCGGGCACTCGCGGCCTTCCGACCGCGTGGTATCGGTAAAATCGGGGTAATTCCGATAGCTGTTTCTTTGCTCTTTCGCTATAAAACACCAAATGCCATACACCTTGTAAAAGTTCAGCTTTTCCTCGTTACAATGGTGTAAGTTGTTTATATGTCCGATTATTAGGAGCTGGAGAATCGCCGACGAAAGCGAAGCCTCTCGCGGTCGGAATGCGAGGTCGGCCGGTTGAAAAATTGACACGCGTGCATTCAAATGCTTCGCGGAACGAGGGATGATTAAATGCCGTCTTTTCATTGGCGGAGAACTGTAGAGCTTTAAACGGGCTTTCCCGAGATACAAGTTTAGCCTTTGGCGTCTTTATAGAAAGCTTTTAAAAATACCATCAAAATGTTCAAAGTGTCCCTTTTTACACAAAATATGTATAATACCGACTTATAACAGGTATCAATTAAAAGATCAGTTCATTTTCTATTAGAATAAAGTTATTAACTTGGAATTATTTTTCATCAATCCTTCCGCGAGACTCGGAAAGCATGTGACCCCGCACGCGGGGTACACTACAGTATAGAGCCGACTCGCTCGCCGCGGGGGCCGGTGCGCCGCCGCCGGGTCAACGCTCGGTGTTTTTGTCGAAATAACGACAGATCGTCGTGTTTGAGGCAATAAAGTACTGATTTGTAAAGATCTCACTGTCTTGAAAAAAATTAGGCTCCATATATTTGTTATAGTGATTGTACTCTGTTAATGTGGAGATGTTTAGTGCACTTGGTACTTTTTTTATGTCTGTCAAACATGGGGTTGCAGCCAGTGACTGACTTAAACAAATTTGATCAAATTTTAAACAACTTCAATTTTCTTAAAAATTGACGGAGAGGTTAAAGAATGGTACCAAAATGCTCAGTGGATATAGGCCTTTCAAATGGAACAGATAAATTTGGCATACAGCAAGTTTGAAAATTTAGTTTCTGGTACCTAGTTTGAGATTCGAGTGTTGCGTGTTCCGAGTGTTCCGGAACTCCGTGAAGTCAATACAAAAAAAACCAAAGGGACTGAAACCGGGACCGAACATTATGTTCAAGAAACCCAAGAATTCGTGATTATTGTGTTCGAGATTCATGGACTCTACTCAAATATCTCCTGTCACATACAGGAAATTAGATGGCACGATTAGACTGGTCAGGAGGCATTATGAACCACCCCTCTCAAAAAATTAAAACATAACGAGTTCTGAATCGGAAAAATTTTTTTTCAAGGACTAAATGGGTAAATCCTGTCCTAGCAACTGTCTGAAGAAGGACAGAAAGGTAGGTAAACACTTGTTCCCCGTTATCAGTATCACGGCAGAAAATCTTAATCTTACCATGTGGCCGAGGCGTACGTTGCTGTCATTTTTAAACTCCTCCACCAGAGAGTGGTAGTGGGTGGAGAATAGCGAGCGACACTGAATGTTTTCCGACAGTTCCTTCACCACAGAGCAGGCAATGGCCGTGCCGTCGTACGTTGCTGTCCCCCGACCTGAAAGCCATTGGTTTGTAAGAGTTTAGTTTTAGTAAGTGTTTTACGGCACTTGCAACACAATAAGGTCATATAAGTGCTGAAGATTAGAGGTGTTACAAGAGAGTAACAAACAAAAAATGAAAGAGGGGCGATAAAGACGATAGATATTTGATAGGAAAGAAGAAGCAAACCACACCGTCCACACCAGAGCACCCGCTAACCACCCATTGCCATTAGTTTGTCAGAGAAAAGAACACACATTAGTACTACAGCAACATTGAAAAGGAAGCGAAAATATCTGCTCACAACTTGCAGGAGAAAGCAGGATTTCGTCAAACTTTATTTTAAATTGAGACTAACGATTTTTGACGACTGTGTAAATAGGACTTGACAGTCAATCAATATGTTCATTCACGTCTCGCAAAGTTTCTATTACTCAGAAGGCAAGTACAACACAATATAAACATTATCTTTCAATTCGAGTAAAAAGAACAGCAACCTAATAACAGTCATTCAGTACCATGGAAAAAGAAGAGTGCAAAGTGCACAGAAACTACAGAGGGGGGGGGGGAAAGCCCAACAAGTGGCATCTTCCAATCTTCCAACCATCAGTGCAATTTTCTCGACTTGAGGACCAAAACCCCATCCAATAAACCCCCCAAAATAGCAGTCCCCAATTTAACAATTAATTTGACATTTTCAGCTTAAGCAAACGGTTACACATGAGGACAGTACCGACCTAATTCATCGAGAAGCACCAAGGAATGTCTGGATGCGTGCTGCAGAATGGCCGATGTTTCGCTCAGCTCCACAAAGAAAGTACTTTCCCCTGAGAAGGTAAAAAGATACACAAAATGAATTACAAACACCTATGTCAGAGAAAATGAAAGCTATGAAATACACTATTTTATGTTAGAGAAAATAAAAACCAGAAGTAAAGGACACGAGTTTGACTCATACTTGGGCAATATGTCCTGAGAGTTTGTCTTTCTGAAAAAACATACACCCCACAGATCAGGTCCGCCCTCACAAGAAGAAAAGTCAAAGCCGCTTGCTTTCCTGCACAATCTCAATTGTTCAGATGGTGGCAAAAACATTTACAAGCAAGCCAACTTTTTAAAAACCCAATCAAGGACACCAAACAATATAACATCAAATACAGAACTTTACTTTTTATCCAATGCTCAAACCTTTTGGGTGTCGCAGGAAGAAAGAGACTTTCTGCCACCAGCTGGAGAGCTCTAGGTCAGGGGGATGCCATGAGTAAATACGTAGAAATACAGAACAACAAACAAAATTTTGTCAATTGAGAGTGGTTCTGGTGGTGTAGGCTAAAATGTCATCTCAAATTCCCGACCTTCGAATCCGAGACAGTTCCAGAGAATTCCGGACAGTTGGCAAGTCAGTATTTATGACAAACAACAATATTTTAAAACTTACCTGACATGATGCGGTCACTCGCCCCCAGCCTGGTGAAGATTCTGTCCACCGGGGTCAAGCGACATTTCTCTGCCGGCACATAGCAGCCCTGAGGACAACAACAGTAGGCTTCACATCACAACGATAATATGGCATAACCACACTACGCTATAATGATGACATGACATAACTTACTCTCTTTAGTTTTAGTACGAGTTTTAGGGCACTTGCAACACAATAAGGTCATATAAGTGCCGAAGAATACATGTATTACAAGAGAGTAACATACATAAAAAAGAAGGAGAGATAAGGACAATAGATGTTTGATAGAATAGAAGGAGCAAACCACACCAGAGCACCCGCTAACCACCCACACTTACTCTCTCCCTATACCGTCCTATAAGGCGGAGAACAGTCGATGCCACGCTTGCCTGACCATGGCCACGTTCTCCAATTTCAGCACATCCAGGCTCTAGGCGATTGCTTCATCTCTTATTTTGCCTCTATAGCTTCCAGTTGTTTGTTTTAGCAGTGGTTTTACAGCGCTTTCAACTGCATAAGGTCATATGAGCGCCAGAAGATAAGAGGTGTTACAAGAGAGTAACAAACATTTAAAAAAAGGAGGGCAGATAAGGACGATAGATGTTTGATAGGAAAGAAGAAACAAACCACACAAAAGCACCCGCCAACCACCCAAACTTCCAGTTGGTCTGGAGGACATAACATGACACAACAATACAATAATAATTGTCTTGGATGGCCACCAACTTAAGGAGAAAAGTGGGGGGCTGTCTTAGGGTGTCATTATAATGTTAAAAAAATACCAAACAAGGGATGAAATGAGAATTGGCCGTTTGTACAGGTGATTGTCTTATAAAGGTAACCGTTAGAGCAGGTGTGACTATTTGCATTTATATAATGCAAATCCATGCTCAATGCACTTTACAACCCATCTGTTATGATCACAGCAGACTTTCGAAAACACAGAAATATTCTCGGCTCCCCAGCGCAAACAGCTGATTAAGCATATCCGTATGCCTTGGGGTCATTTAGTACCCCCAGGGTTGTATTCATCACATTTTAGAATACTTCTAGTGCGAATATCTCTATGAAACTTTAAGTATTTCTAAAAAAAATCATTTTGAAAGACTGCTATGCAAAGTGTACGGATCTGATAAACAAGTAAATTTCCTCTTTGGAAAGTTGGGGTACTGAGTTCCCAATGTCGTATGGATACGATAGTAAAACATGACGTACAGTTAGGGTTAAGCATTCAAACTGACAGGACCTTCCACCAACTATGGCCGTACCTATTCCCACCTGGGTGAAGTGAAGATAATTCCTGTAAAGTGCCTTGCCCAACGACAGAATGTCAGGCCCCTGATGAGGTTTGAACCCATGACCATTCAGTAAAAAGCCTGACAGTTAGACCACTGAATAAACAATATTCTCGAAGAAACAATTAAAGTTTGTTTTGTTGGGGAAAAAACAGAATTATTTTGAAATTTCTCAAGTGATCCAACTTCTCATTAGTTTATGCATACACCCCTACCCCCAAGACAGAAAGTGGAGATGAAAGCAGACACAGAGAGGACCATACCTCTAGACACTGAGAGCCCCCCCCACTTTGTTTTAGTAAAGGTTTTACGGCGCTCGCAACTGCCTAAGGTCATTTGAGTGAAAAGGGGTGGATGTCAAAAGAGAAGTCCTTACAGGGAATCAGACTTACTCTGCTCACCTCACAAGCTTCAACAGCATCCACTATCAAAGCACCTAAAAAATAGCAGTTCACAAGAGCGTGACAAACATACAAAAGAAGTAGAGGAAAAATGACAATAGTAAGGATTCGGAAAGAAAAAGCAGCAGTTCCCTGTTGAAGTTCAGGCACAGTTATGAGCGTGACATTGAGGAATCAGCCTCTTTACATTAACAATTCTACTATGCATAAGAACTCGAGATGTTAATGTCCCCCCTTTTGGGTATGGCCTAAAGACATTTAGCACCGCCCCGGGGGTCTCCCCCCACTTAATCTGAGGGCAAAGTGTTCAGTATTCAAGTCAATGCACCTGTTTCTGTCCTGGAATTCAAGCTAGTACGATCAGCAGAAAACTTTGGAGTTCTTTCACAGCTACTTCGGGCTTCTGGTTGACTCGGAGGGATTGAGCATCTCCTCTCAAAATGACAACACCAAAAACAAAGCAGGGCTTGTGTGCACATTACGCTCATTGAAGAAAGTTGGCCAAATCACAGTGGAAGAGGAGGCTTGACCACGTTTAGAGCCAGTGCAAAATTCCAAGTTTTTGTGGGGATTTTTTTTTGTCTAGTGTCCCGAGCAAAATTCCAAGATTTTGTGGGGATTTTTAAAGCAAAATTACCAAGTTAATCACTGCCCTAAAACTGAAGTAACTCTAGTGAGGATTAAATAATTGAAATTGCTGAAAATGGTTTATGGCCACCAAAAGACAGAAGAAGGCTCCATTCTTGTATTTTAGTTTAACTTTTAGTAAGAGTTTACTGGCACTTGCAACACAATAAAATCTTATAAGCGCTGAAGATTAGAGGTGTTACAAGAGAGCAACAAACACAAAAAAGAAGGAGAGATAAGGACGATAGTTGTTTGATAGGAAAGAAGGAGCCAACCACACCAGAGCACCTACCAACCACCCATCACTCTTGTATGCAAAATGGCTGTATGGAGTACGTTATTTAAAGACACCCCCCCCCCCCCCCCCCTGCACCAAGAACTCACCACTTGTGCCATGATTGTGATGAGCCCCACTTGTCTCATGAGCGTGGACTTTCCTCCCATGTTCGGGCCGGTCACTAACACCACTTGACCTTCAGAGTAGCTGCCGTCTTCCTCATCATTCTCCTACACAAATATATATAGATATATATACATATATAAAAAAAATGTTTTTATAGTAGAGTGTTTTACGGCGCTCGCAACTGCATAAGGTCATATGAGCGCCACAGAAATATATATTATACATTACAAAAAAAGTAAAAAACAAAAAAAAACAACCCCAAAACAAACCCACCACCTAGTTGGAGAGAAGAGTTAGTTAATTCTAGTACGGGGTTTTAATTGCTGGCATTTGCAACACTATAGGGTGATATCAGTGCCAAAGATTAGAGGTGTTATAAGAGAGTAACAAACATAAAAAAAGAAGGAGGAGAGATAAGAACGGTAGCAGGTTGACAGAGGAAAGGAGGAGCAAACAACATCAAAGCACCCCCCCAACCACCCACTTGGCGAGAAAAGAAAGTGGCTAAAAAAGCAAACTATCCTATACATAAACAGCTTGTGCCTCTATAAATGAATTATTCACAGACTACAATTTAGGGTTGACAAGTACATTCTTACACAGACCTGCCTAGTTTGACACTTTAAAAAATTGGTAATGAAATGGTCAAAAATTAGTACTTTGACTTAAAAATTAGTAATAGTATAATTTTCCTTCTACGAAGTGGGGGCCTACTAAAAAGAAATAAAAAAATAAAAATTTGAGTGACAGCTTACTTATATTTTCCGTGTATAGTGGACTATTTACATGGAGAGGGCTTTTGATTCCAAATCATTGAGAGGCGTTTAACGAATACTCATGATCATCTACGAATTATTTCTGTGCAAACTTGTCGTAGAACTAATTATTCATAAAATTGACTCGATTTTTTGTAATTTTCAAAGTACATTCGTATCTTTGCAATAGGGCCAAATCTCTGGACATATATCCGTATTATTACGAAAAATTCGCAAATATAGGTAGGTTTGTTGTTTTTACACGCTGGTTTTTTATGGGTTGTTTCCCCCCCCCCCCCTTCAATTTGAGGCTTCAACTACTGCTGCACTAAAAATCAAGCGGTAACTGAAAAGGCATCATTTTACAACGGAAGTAACAACGAGACACAAGAACAATTAAAAGGAAAAGACAACCATTCTACTTTCGTGTCGTCAGTGAGAGAGAGAGAGAGAGAGAGAAAGAGAGAGAGAGAAGGAGTGGGGGAGGAGGGTTGATAGAGAGAGACGAGAGAGAGTGGGAGATAAGAGAAAGAGACAGGAACAGAGAGAGAAAGAGAGAAAGAAAGAGTGAGGAAAAAGCACTTTCTGAGAAGAGAAATGAGACAGGACGTCAGGTCCCACTTATGGAAAATGACGAAGCAAATCAAAATTACGGATTTCCGTAAAATTTCCATCCCCGTATTACTTGGCGAATGACATTGTGCCCATCCATACCCTTACCAAAATGTATTTGTGCCCACTGCAGTGATCTTATCTGAATCAAATGCCTTGAAATTGAAAGCTTAATGCCATTCAACCCAACTCAGTAGAAATACCCGCTTAAGAAATGTGAAAACAACTTTCCTTGAGAAGGATTTAGCGAGTGCTTGTTTTAGTAAGAGTTTTATAGCACTTGCAACTCAATAAGGTCGTATAAGTGCCGAGGATTAGAGGTGCTACAAGAAAGAAACTAACAAAATAGAAGGAGGGGAGATAAGGACGATGGATGCTTGACAGGAAAGAAGAGCAAACCACACCAGAGCACCCGCCAACCACCCCCACCCGAGCAAATACATAGAATTGTCTTAGTGTTAGTAGACGTCTTACAGCGCTCGCAACTGCATAAGGTCATATGAGCGCCAGAAGATTAGAGGTGTTACAAGAGAGTAACAAGCACAAAAAAGAAGGGGAGAGAAGGGCGATAGATGTTTTATAAGAAAAAAGAAGCAAACCTATGAACAGAGAGAAAGAACACAGAAAAACTACATTACAGAAGCCAGTCACAAAAACAGAAGTATTAGATCCCTTACATCCTTGAGACCAATGAGCGTGTCATTTGGTATGAAATCTCCACCTTCAAACGTCCTTGACACACATGGATGACGACCTTCTCGGATTTCTAACATTGGCTGCGGAAAGGGAAAAGAGGTAAAATAATGTGGAAACCCTTTCATACATCAATATCAAACAACATCTATCAAATAAGAACAACCCTATATATATAATACACTGCCAGGTTAATTTTCAGTGGTGTATGCTCCTCTAATCAGCATTGCTTTCAGACAAGAGTATCTTCTCATCCTAGGATTTTTTTTTCTCAAACACCTATCGCCCTTATCACTCCTTTTTTTTCTTTGTATGTCGATTTTATTTTCAAAATTTTTCTTATAATTCTATGTTCTGACAGCAACTAAATATTAGATACATATATACTATACTAGAGGGGCCCCCTTTCGATTTAAGGAATGATCTGTGCATTAACATCAACTGAAAGCCATTGGCCTACTATATTTACACTCTACTAAAAATGGAACAACAAATCTTGAGAGATGCAAAAAATTAGGACTAGATCTATACTCTCAAAACAAAATGTGCCTAACGAAATATCACTTCCATTGTGAAGGACAGCTTCGCAGATTTGTTTCTTTTCTCAGTGGAATAATCACAAAGGCCAAAGAAGGACACAAACTTTTTGCAAATATATTTTTCTAAATTCAGAAATTTAAATAAGTAAAAAATTAGGCTCCGTCATGGGAACCTACCTATCTCTCTGCAGGTACTTACCAACTTTCAACTCTGTAGCTGTCGTAGTTTTACGGAAGAAATGAATCATGTGTTTCTAAGTTGCCAAATATATAATAGATTTATGTGCGGTACCATAAAAAAAAATTCACAACCAGGATCAATCGAAGGGAGGAATATGTTTGTATATTTCATTTATTTTATTATTCCAAGTTAACACAACACCACCAACACCCTCAGAGGAAGGACAGGATGGTGGGGAGGAGAAAGAAAGAAAGAAAGAAAGAAAGAGAGAAAGAAAGAGAGAAAGAAAGAGAGAAAGAAGATAAAAAGACGACTCACCTCTACTCCCTCCTCAGGCTGCACAAACTCGGGCCGACACAAACATCCTTCTCCTCCCCGGCTGTAGACGGTCAGCGACACCAGAACGTCCAGCACGGAGAGACACTCAACAGCAGCGATCCACTTCTGGTGTCTGGGGACGCACAAAGAAACAAAGAGATTTTGGTGGAGGAGAGTTTGTTGTTCCATTTTCATAAAAAGACATTTTTTTCTTTTCTTCATTTAGAGGTTCTGGTGCACATTTCTTCATTGCAGAATGCACATGGTATTTACAGTATAAGAGTATTAAGCCGACTTTCCTACCTCATTTTCATTTCCGCATGCTGCCATTTCTTTAATTGAGGACAAACATTTTCCATTCTTATAAATGGAAATTTAAACACTGTGCCCCCCCCCCCCCACCCCATTAAATAAAGAAACCAAACCATTTTTACTCTCTTCTTGCCTTTCTTGAGATGAAAATTCAGCTGAATATGAAATGCCTACAGCTTTAGTCCAGAATTTTTACCAGAGTAGTTGACACCCCCCCCCAGCTCAGGACATAAAACATTCATTTTCAAGACAAGGAAATAATCTCTGACCTTTCATCAAAATTATGGAATATCCTTCTCATGATGTCTTTGAGGCAGCAGGCTTTCCGTTCTTCAGCATCAGTCAGCTGTGCAAGCAAGTCATTGATCTCATCCGTGCGGTATCGCTTCGCGCCTTTCTTAGATGACATCAACTCATAACTGTCTGGAATATTTTTTAAGGCAGACTCTGGAACCTCCAGTTGGTATCGGTTCTTGCCATTTCCCCAGTAGACCAATGACTGGAGAAGAATTCAGTTGTCCTTAGTTTTAGTAAGAGTATTACGGCACTCACAACACAGTAAGGTAATGTAAGTGCTGAAGATTAGAGGTGTTACAAGAATCGCAACAAACATAAAAAGAACGAAAGAGAGGTCAGGATGATAGATGTTTGCTAGGGAAAAAGGAGCAAACCACACCAGAGCATCCACCGGAAGGGTAATGTGAGGAAAAACACCCCTGTCAATGACTGGGAGCCAAACAGGTCAGGGAAGCAAAGGAAAGCTACATTTATTGGCCTGCCTAACATAACATTAATGTGAAATAATAAAACTCTAAAAAAATGTATATGCCATTGCTAGTTACAGCAAGGCAATGAAGGTTTTTTCCAGTGAAAGTTGTCATGCCTTGTCCAAGAATAGCGACCCTCCCCTGACCGCATATCTAACAGTCATGTCAGCTGCACTAATGGCCGCTAAGTGACATATCACTCAACCAACAGAGCCTCATGAACATACTACACAAAAAAATCGTTTTAGCTCTAGTAAGAGTTTTACGGCACTTGCAACATAATAAGGTCATATTAATGTCAAAGATTAGAGGTGTTATAAGAGAGTAACAAACATAAAACAGAAGGAGGAGAGATCAGGACGAGAGATGTTAGACAGGAAAGAAGGAGCAAACTACACCAGAGCACCTGCCAACAACCCATGTGTAGACCAAAAAAAACCAGTGGAATAGAAATGGATATGTCCTGGAAGTAAAAAAAACAAAAACAAAAAAAACAAAACAAAAAACTCACTCGACAGCTGAGAGCCTTTTTCTGCGCGTCAAGGTAGTTGAGGAGTTTCCTCTCCACTTCTCCAATGTCTGCCACTGCCTCATCATAATCAGGATCCACACCTGGCAGGAAAAAAATTCCAAGAAGTGAGGTATGGTGTACAACCGAGGGCCGCCAAGTAAATTATGGTAAATCAGGTTTTTCAAATTTTACAGGAGAGAAAGAAAAAAAAAAGGGTTTTCTTGAAGTGTATTGGGTGGATAAACATCATTTTCATAAGGGAGCCTAAAGTCATGGTATTTGTAGGCTCCCTTATGAAAATGAAGTTTATCCACCCAAAACGACACTTCAAGAAAATCCGTTTTTTGTCTCTCCTGTAAAACTTGAAAAACATGACTTACCATAGTTTACTTGGCAGCCCTCGAAATATGTCATGGTTGATAGTCAAAACTTTATGCTTCCATTGATACAACCAAGAGGTGTGCTGCTGCTTCAACCTCACAGGTCCACGCCAACTCAGATGAGTGGGATACAGCTTCCCAGCAGGGGACGGATTGGTTGATAAAATAATGTCCCTACTCAGGAATCAAAGTCACGTCTTTTGCAACGAAAGAGAAGAGCCTAACCCTGACATCATGGACCCCCGGTAAAAACTTACCATGACAGACCACATTGCTTCAAACAAGCTCATTAGACCCAACTCTTACTTCCGCTGCTTTTCCTATGACTAACATGACTATCTTAGACAATGATATTGCTCTGAGAATGTTTATTCATCATGCACCAGAATGTGTGTTTGCCATAAATACGGGCTTATTTTCCTGTTACTGTTCCACTTCCCCGATCAATCTTGCCGATGGACAACCTCCAGCATGAAGAACTTCATGTGTCTCAACCAAAAAATTCACTTTTTGAAATACTAAATCTCTTTAATCTTTCTCCATATGCTACACTGTTCATTGCAAAGATCATGAAATTTACTCTAATATGTGTGTGTGCTTGGAGAAAGGTACCAAATGACGCATTTGGAAAAATCCCGGGGGGGGTTCCATCTCATCCTCATGTACAGAGATCATTTCATTTCTGAACAATATGCTTTTTGAATTTGTAAGATATCTTCAGTAGTTTTTGAGATATGTGTGATTTTGTAAGGCAAGATACGGAAACAAAGTTTTGCGAAAAACGGGTATAAAGTTTCCCCTTTGTTTCTGCTTCAAATAGACAGATTTACGCATCGAGACGACCTGACAACATATTCGCTACTCATAAACCAACTTTAAAAAGCAGCAAAGATAAAAGAACAGCATCAAAGTGTTAAAATTACGTCTTCAAAACAAATTCACCACCAGCTAGAGCAAAAATTTTCAAGAAATAGATCTAGGTTTGCGCAAGGCGTAAAAAGGCGATACAAGTTTGCTCTCCAAAAAACGAAAGGGTGTGGATGCGCAAAGCTTCCCTTTGTTTACATGTTCTAGATATTCATACGCACTACCCACCATTAGAGAGGGGAGAGAATGACCTAAATTTTGATATGCATTGTGATTGGTTTGATTTTATGAATGGACAATAGAAACCATCTGCAGTGTTTACTCAGAAACCAAATTTCTCATGCATTTTTTTTGGATTATGCAATATACCTTGTTTTAAAAAACATCTTTAAAAATGTATATTAAAGTAAAAGAAACTCAAGTTCTTGTAAATATCGATATATTAATGGATAAAGAATCCATTTCTAAAGGAAATTAAAGTTTTGTCAAAAATTCTATTTTTGACCTCTGAAACCTGATATCTCGGTTCGAGCAAATGCATCTTTACGTACCATTCATCAGGCACGTTCACATATGGTTCCAGGACACAAAAAGCCAAATCACAATTACAGTTCTCAAATTTATACAATCAAGCCTATAAGGCAGATGTTACAAATACTCACCTTTGCTAGGATCAATGACACCATCTTTCTTTGCTTTCTTGTGGTCAAAAGCGTTCTGTGAAAAAACGTGACACTCAGCATCGGCATGTATTTTCTAATGCTTTTAATTGTTATGCAAAGATTCGTACATCTTTATAAGCTTGTTAATGTCTTTAATCATATCCTACATAATGATTGTAAATTTAACTCACTGAACACTGAGCCCTTTCACTTGGCACTAACGCTGAATACAGGCGTTTTTGGGAGTATTTCAAAACAACTCTAAGAACTAGCCAATTGTAATTATTTTTTGACACAGTAAAGTTACATTCAAGTTTAATCTAATACAAAACATTGCCCTCCCTATCGGAGAAGTTTGGTTTCATTGGTGTGTATATTTGTTTGGTTATAGAGAAAACGCTCCTTGTCTTTTAAAGAACCTTACCAATTCACGACAGCCACAGCATTAGCTTGCTTTGATAATCACTTTCCACCACCAATGTAAGAAGTTATTTTCAAGCTATAGGCCTACTTTTCAAATTAAAATGTTTAGACACAAACAAAGCCCAAGCAGAGGCAACCTTTTCCAAGAACACATGGCTGAAAGGGAAGAAAAGTGGAGAAAATTCTTTCACAGAAACAAACGTATCTCCTTACGTCAAAGAAGTCTAGGTCCTCTGAAATATCAGGGAAATGGGCGTCAGTCTTTTCATCTGACTCCTTCACAGTCACACTTCGTCTCAGCAACTTTGACCTTCAAGAAAACATCGGCATGAATAAAACAAAATAAACATTAATTGACCACATGGATTCGACAGTTTTCTACAACAACAGCTTGAGATTTTTAAAACTCTTTATCTCCGGCAAGCCGCTCCCTGCGGCTCGCGGTCGTAACCACTGTGCCACAGCTCGTGCACATTCCTTTTTACGACGACTTCCACGTCAAATTACTTTTCGGTAATTGCCGAAAACAGGTCTCATATACTGGAAGCTCATTCGTTAGATGAAAAACTATAGAAATAGGTTAGCTAGTTTCGATTTAATGACGTTTTTGTCATTTTTAGATTTAGCACCAAAAAAAAAGGGCCCCAGCGTAGTGAGTTTACCCCCCCACCCCCCGGAGATAAAAGTTAAGTTGTAGGAAAGAGAGAAGAGAACTACATCAACATGGTCGGGGTCATTTAGTGCATTTTTGCCTGTTTGTTGAAGCACATCGACACAATAATGGTCATTTAGTGCTGGAAAAAGACAGACAGAAACAACAAAGGGAAAGTGAACAAGTAGGACCTACCACTGGCGCCCTCCGACCACCCGCGCATTTAGTGCAGACAAAAAGCAAAACAAACAGACAGAAACAACAGAGGGCAAGGAAAAGAAGAAGCACCTGGAGGCATCCTCCCCCAACCACTACTACACCTACACAGGTAACGACAAAGCAGATAGTACACATCCGCCACTAACACTAATTACATTTTATAAAGACAAACATTTAGCACTTGCTTGAAAACAATGAAACATTAGAGAACTTATCCAGCATTCTCGGTCTACTATTCTGTTTAACTAAGTGCTTAAAAACACCACAAAGAGAGAAGAGGTAAAAGGTTTAGCCAACTGTAAGAAATTGTATGGGTCAGTAGACTTGCTACACCAGAAACCTAAATCTATTGTTAAACCTCGTCTCCTTGGGTCAAAATGTACTTTAAAAAAAAAAAAGAGTCTTACATTTCCTTCAGATCTCTTCTATTACTTACTTGAAAGATTTCACGTGTGGCTTGAACTTCTCAGTGACTTTCATGCAAGCCTTGAAGCCATCAATTGCAGTTAAGAAGTCTTCAATTTTTCTCTTGCTGTGTTCAAAAAAAGAAAAAGAAATTTGACATCATTAGACACATTGATGTCAGCAAGATCAAACAGGGCAGAATGTTAATAACCATGCAAAGTTCATACTCAGAAATTGAGAAATGATGACTAAAAGTATATATTGATTATGAAGTCACAAAGGAACTCAATATGACAGACCTGTCGCAGGACAGAAACATATAAGTAATACATTATCACCAGATCCGTTTGGGTGTTTTTGGTTCTCTTTACCTCACAAACTTCCAGAACTTCAAGTGTGACGTAATACACAAAAACACATAACAACACAGGACGAACAATTTGGATTTGAGGATAGACACCACAGATCACTCGTTACACATAAAAGGAGACCCCGCCGATGAATTTTCCATGATTCAAGTGATGGGCTGTTTCAACCCTGCCTGACAGGACCAACCCTGGCCGGGTGAAAAAATACATTGCAGCTGAAAGACGGATATAGCTCACAAAATAATGTCCCAACACACCAACCAAAAGCATATTTTCTGCAGAGTGACAAGTATACCACAGAAGTCAGAACAAATTTAGGCCAAAGTTAAAAATATGTAGGAAAACAAAACAACAACAACAAAATCCCCCCCCCCCCAATTCATTGAGCATGAAGAAGTCTAAACATCAGAAAATTTCCAAAGTTTCTGAAACTTAAGGAAAAGTGCGTAACCATTTCCTTACCTGTAAGTGACTTCTTCATACAAGATGGCCCGACTGTCTGGATGATTTTTGCTTTTGCCAGCTGAGCCGATCGAGTGAATTCTGAGAAGACAAGCATAGACCCAGAGAATAAGTAACATAAAAAAAGACAGCCTTCGATCACCTACAGATTCAGACTGGATTTTTCAATTACAGTCAAATGCTCAGACGAATACAAACATTTCTGAGTACACTAGCATTTTTCATTTATCCCCTCAGTACATTTCTTTTCCAAATAATTTTAAAACAATACTCACATCAATATTTCTATTACACCATATAATTTTTAATGGACTACAACCTTTGTCAATTTCTTCCTCTGGAAAATCAATAAAGTTAATGTTATCCTTACTCATTTCCAAATGGCATTACTTTACCTGCTGAGAAGCCTTTCCAGATCTGGCAGTTTTTTCAAGATCGAAACAGCCTCGTCCATCGCAGCTCCTGCGCCCAACAGATCTTCCACGGCATCTAGACGGTCATAGATAGAGGCAGGCTGGCACAGCGGAGCACACAGCCACTGTCGGAACAGACGTTTTCCTGGCAGAAATGAAGGAACAAAAGGAGTTATAATAAGTTTGCAAAATATTCATATTTTTAATTTTGTGTCCATTTCAGTAAAGAGACATGGAAAAAGCACAAAAGGGTCTACAAGCCGCACCTGAAAATCACCCTTGGAATTCAGTGGAACAGGACCACAAGAAAAGGGGAGAAAAAATAATCCAATTTAATTTATCCATTCTGTCTGTTCAATCCTCGAGGTACTGGCACTTAGAAAGAAACACTGTCTCAACACTGGGAGAAGAGACCCAAGAACTCTACAGTGCAGCCTTTGCACTAGAAACTGGGATGTCTATTGGAAGATGAATGAGAAGAAGAAAGATTTGTCACTCCCAGAAAAATGCTGAAAGCATAATAACTGTATCAGTAAGTTAAACACAATTCAGTGGAAGACATTACGCACACACAGACAGATAGACAGACAAAAGCACACATACTGACCAATAAAGAAAAAGCAGCAGCCCTCCCGATGTTGTTCCGGCACAGAATGAGCATGACATTGATAGATCAGCCCATTTACAATTCTACTGTGCATAAGAACATGTTCATATCCCCCCCTTGGGAATGACCTAAAGACACTTCAGTCAGTAGTACTGCCGGGGGG